GCCACAGCCACACTTTTCTACGTTTCGAATTTTCCACGTACAGACGAAGACTCGCAACAAGAATTGGCTCATTTCTCGAGCATTGAAAATTCAGTCACAAAAGTCTCACTTAGATATTACAGATGTGATCAATTGATTTCCATTTAGTGCCAGAACAGAAACTTGCCCGGTCAATGCCAAGCAGTCTATTATAAAGAGAATTTAATTCCTCACAAACTGAGAAAGTTTCAGAAGAACTGATCAGTTAACTTTAGAAATTGTAACTCAAAATGATTCGTCATCACGGAAAATGATGCTGTTGTGGGCGACTGATGCGGTACACCGTTGCGCTGACGAAGGAGGGGCATGCGGTAATGCCCAACATGATCATCTTGAAAGGAATCGAATATTTCTCGGGTTTTGAGAAAGAAAATATCTTGAGTATCTGGAAAATCACAGCAGATGACATTGATGGTGACAGTGGCTGTCGTGATTTCACTGCTCAGGGTGACGGTAACCGTCATACTGGCGGAGATATTCAAAATGAAGGTTCATGTCTGCAATGAACTAATTGCATCGAATGTGAAACGTTACTAATTTTAATAAAGTAAAGAAACTAAGGTTCCACATAGACACCTTCGATTAAGATCGAATTTCATCAATAGCCATTTCGAATCCTTTCAAGCGGTGGTTTCTTTGCGCACGAAGGCAAGCTTTGAACAGGATAACATTTAATTGCGTGTAATTCATGTACAGGAATGCATGAATAAACAAAATTTTCAAGCATGAGACATCATCTGATTTGTTGTACTTTGATATGATGGTGCACCATAGTGATTGGGATTACTGTCAGAACGGTGTTCATTTTACATGAGGTTTCGAGCAGCCGACCTACCATGTTACATTCCATCATAAGCGGCTGAATTCATAATCGGAGTGAACATTGAAGCCTTCACCAAAAGCTTCAATCAACGTAGGATCCTGTATAGGCAACCGTAACGAGGAATGAGCCCTCACGAGATCGACATTTTCGGACAACTCCGTGTACAGTCCAGTGAACTAATCCGATGCAAATGACTGAACTAACATTCTAATGCACTCACTATGGACGATAAACATCTGCAAACTGTTGCTGCTCCTCTGGAGCCTCAAACTTATATTTCAGGTATATTCATGAGCTTACCACTTGTCAAAAAGGATTTCAAACGTGAATGCGACTAAACATGAATCACATTTCAGTAATATTCCCTCTCCAATGCACAATTTGGCATTTGCTAAGCAAATTTCTATTGCGGCACTTTTTCCGTTCCAATTGCACGCAACAGCACCATTTTCCATAATGACCATTCATACTAACAAATTCTAACGATTCATTCGTAAGTTATATTCTCGAAAACTAACAGTAAGCAAACATTTTTTTCAGAATTTCCCATTCTGCAGAGAATTGAATTTGAAATCAGTCACGAATGTTGTGATATGGAAATCTTTCTTTTTCACTGTTCACGACGACATTCACTATCGGTCAATTTATTTTATGCATATCTATAAATGCACATCTACAGTCAGTTTTATGCACATCTATAGTCAATTTATATTTTATGCATATTTATGCGTATCCTCTCGCTCTCCCATCTTTCAGTGTTGTCGCGCGAGCGTATGAGAGTGCTTTTTGGCTTCTCTTCCACAAACCAAAAAAGTTGCCTTGAGCGATTGGATTCGACAAGTCTTTTTTCTTTTCATTTGCGATTTCCATAAGAAACCTTTTTCTGTGGCGATATTTTCCTCCGGGGAATCCGTCACCAACTGGATTAATTTTTTGGACCCGTAATTATCGTTTCGTTTAATCGTTCTTGTGGGCGAAACCACTGGGAGATATCGATTGGATAAACGCTCACACCGTTGTTCCCATGGACTCACTTGGAAATTAGTATTATTTGTGATATCTGGCCAGTGCAAGTCAGTGTTTGAGGCATCAACGGATAAGCATGTTTTGAAATTGCAGGAAATGTCGTCGTTAAAAAGATCCGCCAAAGTTGGTCAAAGAACCCATCGCGAGCGCTCACAGGTACAAAACAAACTTGCACTGCTCAGCAGTTCATCAATATTTTGATTTGTAGTCCTGGATCTGGAAAGAAATTCGTGTAAAAGGGGAAATTTCAGAAGTTAAAAGCTTTTTTGAATATTGACGAAATACTTGTTTTAAAACTGTCCTTAGAATAAACAGGAAAGAATCGTGTGACGTTACTTCATGATTCGAAAATTCAGCGTTTGATTATCAGTGCCATTTGTGGTGATGAACTGCGGAAGCTAGGAGATTCTGCGTGCCGTAACATCATTGTTTCAGCCTGAAGCAAGAGCACAATTGGGTCACTTGGAGAAGCGTAAGGACTATCTGCAACGAGCGAAGGACTACAATGTAAAAAAGGAGAAGTTACGTAAACTGAAGAGGGCAGCGCTGGATAAGAATCCGGATGAGTTCCATTTTCATATGGTTCGAAGTCGTATTGAGGTGAGATTTTATGCTGTTACTCTATTCAGCAATTATTCTTTTGATTTTGCAATCTTGATGTCGTTTTTTATGTTTCTGGAAAGTGGACGACACTTCCGATAAGTCCTTTCGGTTGATGCGAGATAAACGTGATTTCTTCTTGAAACGATTTTCTCCATTGTATCTCGATACATTCTCTGAGTTTCAATTTTGTATTACTTAATATCTGGCGATTCGATAATTCCGAACGTAATTTGTTAAGCTGAAAACTCAGCGTTTGCTTATCAATGCTATTTCTGGTGATGAAGTATGAAAGTCATCATATATTATAGACCAATGTAGAATTAATGTCACTTTTTGAATATTACTGGTCTAGTTTGCATGGTTTTTACCGATTACTAGAGTGCCAACTCATTATCTTCTCCCTTCCTGTCGATTGTTCTGAATTGACTTTAACTTCTAGGATGACGGCGTTCATCATGAACTGACACCCGAAGCTGACGAGGATACAAAACTGCAGAAGAAATTATCCAGTGTAAAGGACTTGAAATATGTACGACATCGACTGAATGTTGAGAATAAGGTGAGACTTTTGGTTATCCGTTGAAATGATTTATTACTTTCAAACAAGTCTAGCAACAATCCAGTATCTTCTGTTGACTGAAAATATTTCAGTAAATTTTATTTAGCAATCAGTAAACTATTAGTGAGGTAGAAAGCCACGGCAGTCGTGTCACCGACTTTTATGAAAGGCACGTCTTGAATGTTTTCTCATAATTGGTGTGCGTCATCGGTCGTATTTATGAATTTCTGACGGTAGTTCATGAATTTGATTGATCTTTTCCTAGAAAATCGAAAAGCTGCGGGCCACTCTTCATTTTGCTGACATTGCGGTGAACAGTAATCAACATACGATATTCGTTGATACAGAAGAAGAGGGTTAGTCTATGTTTAATTTTTAAATATTATTCTAATGTCTAATTCATCAGTTCCATTTCTTCTGATCATTAGGAAATGTTATTATCTGTTGTGGCAACAGTTTGGTGCCGTCAACCAACAAGTGATTCAGTAAAGATGTGAGGTTCCGGTGAAAAATTGAGTCTTTGCGCTGCCAATAACTTTTGAATTCATCAAAGTTATTCTTATTTTTCTGAATTTCGAACTTTTTCCAATTGCAGCCAAGAAATTCGATCCAATAAAATATTTTGACACTCCGGAGCAGCTTATCGATCGTCGGTACAATAGACCTCGAACGAGCACATTGGAGAATCAGTCAGTTATAAATGCGATGAGCAAAGCAGATGTGCAGGTTCGTTCTCGACAATACGTTTCGTAGTTTGACTTACCGAATTCTCTT